AAATGAATAGAATCATTTGTTAATAAGAAGGGGGGGGGGTATATACTATGCTTGAGGGTTAATTTTTTTGTTATGAAGGTTAAATGCAAAAAAATCAAAATGTTTTGGATATTTTCTGAAATTATCAAATTCACTAAGGATTTAGTGAGGGTTGAAAATATTTAGGAATTTAGCGCACAATTCAAAGTTATGAGAGATTTACTAAAATTTAAGTTTTTAAAATAATTAAGGAGGGACACAAGATATTTTTTTGATTTTGTAATTGTAGATAGTTACAAATTGTTTAGAATTAACAAAAATCTGATTGTTTAAATTTTCTACACTTTTATAGATAGAATTTTTAATTATGGATATGAAGAGTTTTAATTTAATGAGAATTCTCACGAAGATACAGTTAGTTGGACATATGCCATTTTTTAATATGATAGAGAACTAGTTTTACTGTTTGATCTCTTTCCATATCAATTTTTGGTTAAAGATTTTTCTTTTAAAAAATCTGATATATGATTAATTACAATAAGATTAGAAAGACCTAGAGAACTAAAAACCAATCCTAACCCTCCAATCTATCTAATCCAATGGCCTACATTTTAATGGCAGAATTGTAAATATAGACATATTTAATACCATCATTAATGTGAAAAGGGTAAAATTGGAACAATTCACTACATTAATGGTGGCTGGCAACATTGGAAATCAAAAATACAACACGTGGAATAATTCACTACATTAATGGTGGCTGACAACATTAATGCTTCTCTATTGAGTTCTCCATTTCCCCATTTCTCTCTCTAACTCACTTTCCTGCTCTCTGTAACTCACTTTCATCTTCTATCAAGCTTTGATCTTCCATCTTTGCATGAAGAACACAACAACAATTCATTAAAAATCATCCTAACCATCCAAGCTTTCGCTGGAGTGAATCTGGATTCACTCCATTGAATCTGGATTATATTGAAGCTCGATTCATTGGAGTGAATCCAGATTCACTGAATTGAATCCAGATTCAGTGGACTGAAACTCGTTATCAAACAATAGCAAATCTGCAAAAATAAAAAACAAAAAGAATAAGAAACTTATGGTAAAAAACAAGCTATAAAATTTTAAACCATTATAAGATTTCACATTTTACAGCAAAAAGTTACGATTTTTATGGTAAAAAACAAACACCTCACATAACTGAATCTGGATTCACTGCAGTGAATCTAGATTCACTCATGCGTTTATTTCTTCGAAATTACAGCACATGCATTTATTTTTTCAACAATTCATTAAAAACCATCCTAACCATCCAAGATTTCGCTGGAGTGAATCTGGATTCACTCCAGTGAATCTGGATTCACTCCATTGAATCTGGATTATATTAAAAAATAAGAAACTTATGGTAAAAAACAAGCTATAAAATTTTAAATAAAAAGAATAAGAAACTTATGGTAAAAAACAAGCTATAAAATTTTAAACCATGAAAAGATTTCATCTTTTACAGCAAAAAATTACGATTTTTATGGTAAAAAACAAACACCTCACATACTGAATCTGGATTCACTGCTGGGAATCGAGATTCACTGCAGTGAATCGAGATTCACTTATGCGTGTCTTCGTTTTTTAACTGGTTTCTTCAAAAAACAAAAAACTTTTCAGACTAAAAGGTGAAATATTTCACCTTTTACAACAAAAAGCTACGATCTTTAAAGTTAAAACTAAAACTTTTAGACGAAAAATCAAACAAATTTTATAAACTTACCATTAAAGCGTCAAAATAATTTAACAGCCCACTGAATCATGAAGACGAAGGTTGAAGAAGACCGTGAAGACGAAGCGTCAAAATAATTTCATAAACCATGAAGACGAAGGTTGAAGAAGAGAGAGTTGCTGTGATTTTGGAGAGAGAGAGGTTGAAGAAGACGAAGGTTGAAGAAGAGAGATGTTGAAGACAGAGAGAGAGTTGCTGTGATTTTGGAGAGAGAGAGAGTTGCATGGGGAAATGGAAAACTCAACAGAGAAGCATTAATTACCTCTCTTTAGTAGGCTGTTTATTTTACCTAATTACCCTTATGCAGCTTTAATCTCAGCCATTGGATGAATCTAGATCCAATGGAGAGGATTGGTTTTTAGTTTTTAGGATAGTGAGGTTTTTATTTGAACCTCTCCCTATATATATATATATAGACACACACACTTTTAAACTTAAATTCTGCTAAAAGTAAGTAAGTCTTTTCTTTGTGTATTATCTTCTATTACGAGTTGCATTTGCTTTCCAATTTATTGCTATGCACCGGTCATAATAAGATTTTGGATGGAAACAGAGAGTGTTTAAGCTTGAGACTGTCCACAACAACAACAACTGATATTTTTTTATCATACTGACTGTTCTCAATTTCAATATAAGCGTAGCATTATCAAAACAGCCTAGGTCATATAAGTAATGATATAGTCAAAATATCCAACATTTTAAATGTGTAAAGCTTATAAAATTCGAAAATTTGTTTTCTGAGGAAAGTTAATTTTTTTGTGTTCAATTGTTTGGCGTTTTGTAGCATGTGTACACGTTTGCTTTTCTTGTATGCATGTATACACCCATGACGTGTTTGACAATCTATCAAAAATTGGACTATGATCAGTCATGGCTCAGTTTTATCTTAAACCGGTTTCAATTTGGACCATTGGGTGGTCCAAATTAAAATCAATTTAGTGGGTATTTTTGGCCTAAAAACTGGACGAACATTGCTCAGTTTTAGTCTAGTTTTAGAGGTTTGTCAAATACAACCTCATTGTTCAAAGATAATTAATGTTATGTGAAATCGTTAATATCCGTATTTGATGATATGACATAGAGAATTGCATACGTTTGTAAACACAAGTTGTGTACATGTGGTATGGACATGATATCTCTGCTGAATTTTTGGAGACATGAGTTGTATACAATAAAATGCCTGAAGGTCTGGAGCTGTATAGATTTCACGCTTAAAAGCATTTTGCCAAATTTCATCTTGACATTTTCGCTACCTTTTCTTGTTTATTTCTCTACTGATAAAATTGCTAACCTTGTTCATGCTTCAAGATATGAAAATGATGGAGAAAAATAAAAACATGAGATTATGCAGAAGCTTAGAAACATTCCGTGTGCCAATAATTTGACCATATATTCTGTTGTCGTCTAGTTGCCGTCTTTCCTCTATTAAAAAAATCTACTTTTTTATTTAAATTAAATTAAATTTGTTGATATAAAATATGTTTATTCTAAGAAAAGAAAGCCGGCCATGTGTTTTTAATCTCCCATCTAATATTATTGCATCACGCAGGCACTAGAGCTTCAGAATAATGTTCTGTTTGATAGCCGGCCTAATTAACAATTAATTAAAACGGATAATATTATTATTAATAAAATACAATATAGGCTTTAATAAATAGCAACACTACTGGTATTGAATAGGAAAGGCAATAATTCATAGTCATCTTTATCTGGCTTGCATTTATAATTTGTAAATGTAAGTATGGATGCACTTAAAATGATAGTAGAAGTAAAACCTTTTTTTTCCTAGTAAGGTATAATCAATTTTGTTTGCAAATTATTTTTACTAGCTTTCAAGTATAGTTATTATCATATTAAATATATAACAAGATATGTGTCACTAATTGCGGGGATGCAACAAGTACTGTGGCAGTCCTTTAGACTTTATTCTTTTAAAAATAAAGGACAAATTTTAGTTTTAGGCCTCTTTAGAAATTTTTTTGCAAAAAATAATCTATGTCCAAAATATTTACCAAATTCGACACAGTTTCCACCAACTGGCTGAAACTGGGTCGAATTTGACAAAAAAACTTAAAAAACTTCACGGGACTTGAAGTACTGTGAAGTTTAAGCCCACATAACCAACTTTGATTAGGAGCCCCAAAACTTCATGGGACTTTGAAGTCCCGTGAAGTTATAAGCTTCATGGGACGGTTCAGGTTGTATTTAAGAGAGAATTCCAGCTTCAGGCCGTGGTTAGACAGGTACAGGCAGAAGGAGGAGGAGGAGCTGAAGAGCGGGAACGACGCCGCCGAGTACTCCCGGAGGAGGTCGCTATTGAAGCGGCTCG